TGTGGGCTTTCACAAGTTTGTTGATCATATCCTCTATTACTAGATTGTGCCACCATGGCAAGTCCTTATTTTGATGATTGCCAGAAGCTCTTCATGACTCCGCCACAAGCTTCCTCTTATGTCAATCCACTTTATGATGAGAAGGCAACAGCTGACAGTGAGCCTTTCAAATCACTTTTTGAAAGGATAGCTGATTTTGCTGAGGAATCTAAAAGGCTTCATGAGGAACGCATGAAAAGGTTGGAGGAAAATTTGAAAGTATACAAATCAAATCTTCCAGAACTTAAAACCCCTCAACCCAAAAGTGAGGTTTTAATGGAGGATTCAAAGAAGTGCCATGCAGCCGCGTCTCCAGGAACTTTGAAGCAGTTTTGCAAATCGCAAAACGTGATAGAGATGCCAATTGTAAATGAAGGTCAGACGACACTGAGGTCAGAGAGTAACCCCATGATCATGCTCGGGGGGCATGAATCACAATTACAGCATGCTGTCCAAAGTCAACAACGCCATGCAGCTTTGGAGGCGACTTCAACAAGTATGCCTCCAAGTCATTCTAAGTCTGCAAAGACTAATACTAGCAATAGTCCTCTTACTCCTGGGAGGCATAAACTAACTCAGGTGCAGACATGTCAGCCATCAATCAATGAAGGTCCATCTGATGGCCGACAAAAAGTTGATGCTACGACACAAAAGCCAACACTTTGGCCAGCATCAAGACATAAATCTGATAAGGTATCCACCTCATCTATTTCTACTTCTTTTGAGACTAATGAGCATATTTCTTCAGCCTTGCTTAAGAAGTGTTCGCGGCGACCATGCTTTCTTAATGGTCGAAGCCCTTCCAAGTTCAATTATGGACAATGGCTGAAGGTGAAATATCCTTTTAAAGTCGTTAGTCTGAAGAGGGGAGTCATTTCCAATCTCGGGGGGCAACCTAGTCAGATTGAACAACAAAGGTTGGAAAACCTTATTGCCAATGAAGTTCACAAAGCTATAGAAAAAGAGGCAGCAAGGTTTATGCCGTTGCAGCCAGATGTCAATTCAAGCATCCAATCAATGCCGCCACAGCAAAAGCATGTTTGCAAGCCTAGACTACCTCAGCAGTTTATAGACTCATTGCCCAAGGCCACTCAGGTGGCATGTAGGCCACCATGTTGTCTAACATGCCGTAGGCCATATTCAAAAAATAATGATTATTTCCAAAGTGGCTTTCATAAGAAATTTTCAGATTTTCCTTGCAGCCACAAGGATAACATGGGAGGCGACATAAGAAACACCATGCCTTCGCATCTACCAAGTCGAAAAAGGAGGAAGAAATCTAAAGACCTCTGTTGGACACCAATGAAGGAACAAAAGCAACAAACCCATGTCTCTGAGTGGAGGCACGGGGGGCATGATCTCGTAGAAAAGCATGGAGGCATGTGCAAATGCTGCCTCTATAAACAAAGTC